ATAAGTCTCTTTCCCCTGTACTGACAGACAAACTTCTAATCACAGAGGCATCTTTAAAAAGACCTCCTGGTATCAGACTGAGTAATGGTCCCACAAATAATCTGGCCATTCAAAGCTGTCATGATCAACATCAACTTGTTAAATTGTTCCTGCTAGGGTGACCAGTGCAAATCTTTAAATCCAGATATCATATGAACCTTGTTATCTTGAACTGAGCAGCAACCTGGCCACTACATTGCTGCATCAATTGTATTTTTGGCCCTTTCTCAAAGGTAAGTTCATGTATTGTAAAGCACATTGCAGTAGTCAAGATTAGTCAAAAGCAAGGCAGGAATGGTTGTTGCCAAGTCTGAATGGTTCATATAGGTTGTGTCAGTGCCCTATCTATGATTGGGCAAATGCACTTGTTACTACAATTCCGATCTACAAATCCGTGATCATTGGGGCTCAAGTGGCAATCCCTGTGGACTTACTCTTTTTGTGGAATGCAACTCCATCCACAACAAGCTTAATGTCAGACCCAGTTTTGCCTCACTAAAACACTTCTGTTTGGTTGGGATTTAATTTCAGCTTCTTCTCCCTCATTCAGCCCATTATCAAGATTGGGCAGCAACTACTCTAAGGGCTGGTTTTAATTTTGGTTTGAACTGGACAACCTATGCCACATTGGAGATTGATTCAGAGATATATCCTTACCTAAACAGAGATTAGAAACAAAATTAGTGGAGGCAGGAGTGATCTCTGCTTCCTAGTACATAGCATCAGACATCTTACTTCCTCCCTTCTTCCCTTCCAAGAAAACAGTTAGAGAGAAGATGGCAAGGAAGTAACGGGCAGTAGAGAGAAAGCAGAGCTGCTTAACCCATTCTTTGGGTTAAGACCACTCAGCCTAACATCAATACCTGGGAAGATACTGAAAAATAATAATAAAAAAACAGATCTGTGAACATCTAGAAACAAATAAAGTTATAACTAGAAGCCAGCACAGATTTGTTAAAAATAGATCATACTAAACCAATCTTATTTCATTCTTTGACAAAGTGACTAAATTAGTAGGCCAGCAAAATGCTGTAGGCATAGTATACTTAGACTTCTGCAAGGCATTTGACAAAATAGATCACAACCTACTTCTTAGTAAACTAGAAAAATGTGGGATAGACAGCATCACCACCAGATGGATTTGTAACTCGATGACAAATCAGCCAGTGGGGATACTGCTTACCTCCCTCCATGTAGGATCAGTACTCTTCAATATCTTTACAATGACTTAGATGAGGGAATAGAAGGGGACTCATCAAATTTGCAAATGACATTAAACTGGCAGGAATAAACCCTCCCCCCAAGAAGACAAGTGCAGGATACAAAAAGATCTTGCCAGATTTGAACAGTGGGCCCTATCCAACAACATGAACTTTAATGTGGAGAAAAGCAAAGTTTTATACCTAGGCAGGAAAAATCAAAGGTACATGTACAGATTAGGTGAAACCTGGCTCAAAAACAGTAACTGTGAAAGGGACCTTGGAGTCCTTAGTAGATAATCACTTAAACATGAGCCAACAGTGTGCAGAGCATAGAAACAAAATCACATGAAGTTTTAGTACTGCTTTATAAAGCCTTAGTAAGACCACACTTGGAATACTGGCATCCAATTTTGGTTACCACATTACAAGAAAAGAGGTTGAAACTTTGGAAAAAGTGCAAAGAAGAAGAACTAAGATGATTAAAGGCCTGGAGACAAAACATAGTTAGTATGCAGGAACAGGTAGCCATGGAATCCATTCTATCCTGGTCAATTTAACTAGCCATGTAGGGCAGAGATTCAGCAAGCAAAAGGGGACTTCATCTTTGAGTATAGTTTACATATCATGTGAGTCCTGAAAAGAATCTGAATTAAATTCCTCTTATTTATTTTGATTCAATTAATCTTATCAGTCTATCTAAATTTAGTTGGAGAAACCAGAAAAGGGATTCTCTACCCACAGAAGCGGTTTCAATGGGCAGTTGAACCCTCATTTGCAAGCTAGAAGGCACACACACCAAAAGATGAAATCACATTCTTTGGTGCAATGCTAGGCAGAGTCTTTATGCTCAAACAGACCTGCCTGCATGTAAACTAACAGATTTTTTAAAAAAAAACTTCAGACATTCATTAGCAGTAAAAGCCCATTAAACGAACTTTCAAAAATAAATGCAAATCGGGTTTGAAGAAATAGATTTGTGCAATAGTTCATTCCAGTTTTTTTCATGTCTCCTCTGCCTATTCTTAGATCATCCTGTAAAGGACAGCTTTGGATTATAGGATTATAAAGGATTTGATTCTTCTTACTCTTGATTCACTTCTGCTTTTATCACTGGGAAATTCAGGTGCAATCAAGTTATCCCTAATGTATATGGCAAAACCTCTTTCTTTCTTATTGATATTGAACTGTCAAATGATGTGTGGGTAAGCTCTTAAGGTAGAATGATGTGTTAGAAGAAACTTCAATAAAAGCTAAACCTTCCTGCGAGAAGCATCTCATCACCTAAGAAGAGGATCATTATTTAATGGAATTTCAAAGATTCCTGGCTTCCCACTGGTCAGCAAGAAGGATATGAGACACAGTAGTTCATATAGGATGATCCAAGAGGGAAAGAGCTTGATACAAACTTCTCACACAAACAATTTTCCATTTTTGCATAAAGCCGCTAACTTTCATTCACCTGCCTTCAAAGCTGTTTTGTGCTGCAACATGCTGCCTCCACCTTAAAAAAAACAAAAAAAAAACCCAGTGTTATATTGCTTGAAGTTAACTTGAAGTGTCAAATGTCAATTCCATTAGCCAACTAGAAGATAATAGTAATAAAAGGATATAGGTTTCTATCTGCAATCTCTAATTTTTGAATTTAAAAACATATTTGAAAACATTCTATTTGTCACATGATTCTTAGAGGACATGTTCAAATCATAAGTACATGTTTTGCTGTTTTGCTATGGCCTGAGGTTCTCCTATTGACAATATGTTGTGCACAAGACTAATGGATTGAGTACAGTGACATTTGCATTTTAAATATACTTTTTCTGGAGGCAAGAATGCATTATTTTTAAATGACATAAAATTCACTACAGGCACATATTACCAGCACTGGAGACATTTGCCAGAGTATCTTGCAACTAAAGATTGTTAGTGAACAGGCTATGAAATTGGTACAGCATTTACTAAAGTTGTTCAAATATTTTGTACTAACAGAACAATGGGGATATGATTTTTAATCACCTCAGTGATGGCTGGCTAATACTAGAAGATGCTACAGATTACTATTGGACAGCTGCTATGAGTAGTTGTCCATTTTTTTTTGCCATTGAATCCACTGGTCAAAGCCCATTTAAGTCAGATGGGCAAAGATTTGACCAGAGGCAATTATTGTATTAAATCATAGGCAAAGCCAACTCTTGAGTCTGGGAAGTTTTGAGTCGAGGCACTGCAAAGGGAAATAAATGTTTTTTCTGCTTTAGATGCAGCAGTTCTGCTGCTTTTAAAATATTCATAGATATAAGATACTGAGAACTACTAAGTATCTCTAAGAGAAATTATTCCAAGAGGCAGGGCCAGGACAGTCCTTTGGAATGGAGATTCTCACTTCAGCAAAGTTGCTATTATTAAATAGTTTTAAAAGAGGAATAAGTTGACAGACAGAATAAAACGTCTTTTATCACCTCTTCTTCCATTTTTATATGATTTTACTATAACTTTTTAGTACAGTTTAGGAAATGTCTCTTAAATAAAAAATTAATTAAATATATAAACTATATTGAATATGGTGATGGAGAGAAAGAGCCTAGAAGAGCCAAACATTTGAAACACATGCCTGACCCTTTTCCTGTTCTATTCCATGTGAAGCATCTCATTTCATTTCTAATGCTCTTATTTCTGAGCCTGAGTCCTGCCGGTCCAGTTAAAAAAGAGAATCTTCTTCCTTTACACCTCCTTTGATTTCAACAGAGTCCAGCCGCCTCAATGGGCAGTAAAGGATCTCATTTGAGGATATGAGGACCAGATGAATTGACAGGTTCAGAGACAAAAATACAGAGAGAGACCATTTTTCTTCTCTGGATCCTGGGCATCCCCAATTACCTGAAAAGTTGAACCTAGGGTCACATACAATCAGAATAGGGATGGAAGGGACCTTGGAGGTGTTCTAGTCCAACCCCCTGGTCAAAACAGGAGGCTCCATACAATTTCATATGTGGCTTCTTAAAAGCCTCCAGTGATGGGAGTACCCACAACTACTGAAAGCAAGCTGTTCCATCAATTAATTGTTCTCCCTGTTAGAAAACTTCTCCTTTTTCAGGTTGCTTCTCTCCTTGTCTTGCCTCCTGGTGCTTTAAATTAAAATAGGTTGACCCCCACATCTCTGTAGGAACCCCTCCAATGTTGGAAGACAGGTAGTCCTTTGCATTCGGGACACTGAAACCATTCCAAGTATGAACCAAGCATCTGAATTTTGATCAGGTGACCATGGGGATGCTATAAAGGTCACAACTGTGAAAACGGTCACATACCAATGGCATTTTCAGTGCCCCTGTGACGTTGAATGGTCACTAAATGATCTGTTGTAAATCGAGGAGTCCCTGCACTGCCTCTTGGAGTTCGACCAACGCGGTTTAGCTCAGATCGTGCTGTGGCTTAGGACTTTCCACCAAGTGGTCGCAGTCCCTCGGCGTTCCCGCACCCACCCCACGAGTCAAAGGTTTCCTCACCTAGCCGCCCGAGCCGCGCTCGGGCAAGCAAAGAGCCCAGCCGCTTGACTGCTCAAGGCCTGGAGCCGGCCTCTTCCACCGTCGCCCCCCTCCCGCCCTCCGCTCGCCTCCTGCCCGAGCCGGGCGAGGGGGCGCGAGTGACGCTCTTCCAGCGGCCGCGGAGATTGGAGGTGACCGGAGGGGCGGGCCCAGCCGGCCTTAATCTTCCCCTTCATTGGGGAATATTGGCAGGGCGCTGTAATCCACGAGCTGAGCGAGCGAAGGAGCGAGCAGGGCAGCCTCTGAGTCGAACCGAGTCCAGGTTTCGTGAGGGACGCGCCAAGTTTTGCCCGGGCGCGCGTCGGCGAGGAACCCCAGGAACGTAAGTCAGCGCCCCGCGGGGAACCCGTTGCAGTGGGCGCTTCGCCTTTCCTTGCTCATTCAAGGGGCGCCAATTTGCCGTGGGGGCGGCGGCAGGGATGCCTTTGTCCCACGCTTGGGAGAAACCTTTCGACTTTCCGGCGACTTTCGGGTCCCGCTATTTTGCTGCCCCCCCTCTCTCTTCTCTCCTCAGGCCGAACCCCTCTTGCATCCCTGCCGGCTATTCCTAACTAGCGTCGCTTTAGTTTCCGACCGCGGCTCAGGGTTGCGCGCACTTCAGTTGGAGAGGCGCTTGGAGCCCGCGCGGCACCCCAAAGGGCGCCGAGCGTCTCTGTCTCTCTCTCTCTCTCTCTTGAACTGAGGTTTGGTCCGCAGGAGCGACACGTGGCCTCTCGTTTCGAGGGAAATGAAGGTTAATCCGTGGGGAGGTCTCGTGCGTGGAATTTACTCCGTTGAGCAAATGCTAGACTCCCCGGGATTTTATGCCGCTGCCACCGAACCGGCATCCCTCTCCTCCTCGCGCGCTCTCTCCCAAAACTTTTCCCCTAAGAAATGCGCCTTACCGTGGACCTTCAGTTTCCTATTCGGGTTTTAGCCAGACAATGGTGGTGATAACGTGATTAGTTTGGGCTAACTACTGTGCAACGCCACCACCACGTCATCTGAGCCATCAAAAGAAGGACGAAAATAGAACTGGGCTTATTGAATTTCTAGCCTTGCGACTTGATCGCTTGAGTCAAAATGAAAGCTCCAGAAAGGACTGAAGAGCCCCGTCAGCTTCTTCTTTTATGGGGAGGGACACCTACACAAGCCGAAATCTTTCCTTGGGTCAGAGTATAAATGGACGATCATCTTGAGACATCCCTGCACTGCACTGCCACAGGCAGACACTTGCCAGTGTGACCCTCTCCACCACTGGTGGCCACAGCATTTATTGCATGTCCTGCGGTGTGCAGGGTCCCTTGTTATTTCCTATCATAACTCATCTAATCCTGATGGTAGAGAGGAAAAGAAATAGGTTCCCACCTTCTATGTGCCAAGAACCATTAAAATATGTTTTTTTTTTTTAAATTTGCTTACTCTGTTGAGATGGAGAGCAGAAAAACTATCAGTGAATTTGGGAACAATCCTGGGTTATGATATTTATGAACAAGAATGACATAGAATCTGTTCTGGGCCTCAGATTACAAGATGGTTGGAAGAGAGAAGGTTGTCTTTTTGTGGCAGTCTCCCTAGTTATTGTTTTAGAAGGCGACAAGGATTTGGTAGAATAAAGCCAGCTTGTCAGATTCTCCCAAACTTCCCCCTTAACTTTGAACACTAGTAATTTCTACATGACAGCTGCCTTCCTGATCCCTGAGCCTATAATCCCAAATGTATAGTGGATCAAAGCAACACAATACACTGCCTGAAACTCAGAATGGTCAGTGCTTCCAGACAAGGCTTTAAATACTATTTTACTCACACAGTTGTATGGAGTGGGAACTTTTAGAATGTTTATTCTAAATATTATTATTTTCTCCTAACATCACAAAAATCAATTAAGGAGGGGGAAAAAAACAGAAAAGCACTGTGTATTTTGTATTCCAGAGCCTTTGATCTGGAAGTACCCACAGATTAAATAATAGGAGGAGAGCTAAAGTATTTATTTATTTGTCATATATAGAGATTTCCCATTTCACTCCTAGAGTTCAAAGTAGAAAGAAAATATTCCGGGATCAACCAGAATAATCCAACCCAGAGCTTCAAAATTCTCAGTAATACTATAACTGTTTTAGGTCATGACACAGAACCAGAAGTTGAGACATGGGATTCCCAGGGTTTTCTTCTGGCTCCATATCTTTGCCGTGCATTGAACTGATACAGGCCAGCAAAATTCTCTGTTAAAACCTCACTTTGACACTAGCCATAAGCAAAGCCCTCATAGATTCAATCAATATAGAATAAAATTGTCAGCCTACTGTATATGGTTGTTATAAAGATTGCTAAAGTGAAGTCTGAATACTTCAGTTACTTGGTAGGCACGATGTAAAGTGATGTCTCTATATGTGAATATTTGACATAAGACATAAGACATAAGAATGTATTTGTCATTACACTCGCAAGCGGGTGCAACGAAATGAGGTGCTCTTCCACAAGTAAAACTGGACAACACCATTGAAAGAAAAATAAAATTAAACACAACAGACCATACAATAATCTCTAGGGTGGCATCTCCTGCTCCAACCTGTTTGCAGGTGAACGATGTATGCCAGATTAGTTCCTTTCTCTAAACGCCCTCTAATGTGGTGCAAAATGGGACGAATGATATACTAATCTCATTGCTAAGACCGTTTCAGCCATACTTAAATATAATGCACTGTTATGTTAAATCTTTGGAAAAAGATGTCTGCCAAGAGGCTGGGTTATCTGAGAAGATACAGGTGTATTTTCTGGTGTTTTCTGGCTTTTATTGATAAAAAGCATCCACGAACGAGACCTAAAACAAGATGGATCGACGACATCAGCAAGTATTGTGGGCACAATTGGCAAAAGAAAGCTCAGGTCTATATTGGTTGGAAACATTAGGAAGAGGCCTTCATTCTGCAGGGGATAGACAATGGCTAAAATGATGGTGATAATAGATTAAAACTAACTCACACTTACTAATTTAATTTTTATTTGGGCAAGAAAATGACTTCTAATTCTTATGTCTGGCAACTCTCGCAGAACAGATCAAGGATTAAGAGTTTGTAATATAGAGTTGAGGCTGAACAAAGCCGTAAAATTTAAGAGTTGGATATTCTACAGCGCCACCTGATTTGTCAGTTTGGGAGATGCTTTTCTGTTGTAGACTATGGAAAGTCTCACATTTCACATCGTTATAGCTTCAGCTATGAGACATTGCTAATACTCTGGCTGCACCCTTTGCTATACTCTCTTCCTGGCGTGGGAAGGTAGAGTCCTACTTGAGGATAGACAGGGTAGAAAGACAGTGGTAAAGGATTTGCCCTGGATGAACATAGAGAGAGCTTGCTTTAGTGGTGCTGTTTTTGTGTCACGGAGGAAACACATAACCTTCTCTCATGGGCTTTCTCCCTCCCCTGCACGGTCAGATAACTTTTTTCCATTTACTTACCAGGGTAAAGGTACCTTTTGGATTACAGAGGGGCAGAGAGGGGTATCAAACTCAAGGCCTGTGGGCCAGATGCAAAGGACCGGCCTGTGAAACCAGAGCTTGGGAGGACCCCACATGGCCTGCCCGAGCTCTGCGATGGCATCCTGCAGCCCTCTGCCAGCAAAAACCAAACTCGGGAAGGCTACAAGCGGCATTCCCAAGCTTTGTTTTCACTGGCAAAGCACTTGGGCCACCATAGGTACCCCAAAACGAGTGACATCAAGCTGGCTGCATCCCCTGGCTACACACACCCCTGCCCCCTCCCGGGGTCAAACACAACCAGGGGTGGGTTTCTACCAGTTTGCACCTATTTGCTAGAACCGGTTGTTAACATTCTAAGCAGTTCGGAGAACTGGTTGTTAGAATAAATTATTGGCCTAATCCTGTAAGGAAGGCAGGAAGGAAACATTCTGGTGTTGCTTACAGAAACTGCCTCTCCGTTAACCCTTATTACATTCTTGGCAGGGCTAGACTTCCTGTCTCAGGAACATCTCGAGTTTTTTTCCCCTCCTTTGCTGGTACTTTGCTTGTGTGGAGTGACCATTCAAAGTTACAGTGGCACTGAAAAAAGTGACTTTTGACCATTTTTCACACTTATGACTTTTGCATCCCCACAGTCATGAGATGCCAGGCGAAGAGATGCGTGCTTCGATGTGAGTGATATTGAGTTGGCTAATAACATGACCACCAAGCCACGTCCACCCAGTCACATGACCACCAAGCCATGCCCACCAATTAAGCCACACCCACAGAACCGGCTGTTAAAAAAATTGAATCCCACCCCTGAACACAACCCTGATGCGGCCCCCAATGAAATCGAGTTTGTCACCCCGGGTGTAGAGTAAGCAGAAGAAGAAAAATCTTACAAAGTGAAATCTACGATAGTTGTGCAGGTAGCCTTCCATTTACAACCACAAGGACACCAGAATTTCTGTTGCTAAACAAAGGCAATTGTTCAATGAGTAGTGACTGATTTTATGACATTTTTAGCCATGTGTTAAGTGAACCACTACAGTTGTTAAGTGAATCGTGTGGTTGTTGAATCCAAGGCCCCCCATTGACTTTGCTTGTTAGTAGCTGGCTGGGAAGTTTGGAGATGGTAATCACATGACCCAGGACACTACAACCATCGTAAATACATACTATTTGCCAAGCACCTGAATTTCAATCAGACAACCATGGGGATGCTCAGCTGCGATGGTCGTAAATGCAAGGACTCTTTTTTCAGTGCTGTCGTAACTTCAAACGATTGGTACCTGTATTTTCAAAAGAGACATATACACAATAGGAATCATGTTGTCTTGCCACCTAAACTTGAAGGGTAAGAAATCAGTTTTATAAATCTTTCTTTTTTTGCACATCTGTATGCATATAGCTACTGTTAGTGCTGCACTAGCAGGAATGCAGGAGATTAGGCTATTTTGACAAATTTAAGCCTAAAGTAAAAATTTTTATTCTAGAAGAATAATTTTATTACCACTTTTGTTCAGTTTTGCAGCATAAATTCAGTGCCAGAAAAGTAAACACAGATGACTGAGACTTCATTTAACTTCTTTATAAATACAAAGTAAATTTTACAATACCAGTTGTAGATTTCTCCAACATCGAGCAAACTCAAACAGAAGCAAACCTTCAGAGCAAAACAGCAATTCAACTTCAGCAGATAAGCAAACAAGCAAGTTAGTTTCTCTTTCACTTTCACAAAGAACAAAGATAAACCATACCCAGATTCTCTCTTTAAGTTTCAGCCCTCAATTCAGCTCTCATTGGCTGACCTTATTACTAAGCTCTATTCCAGTTCATGAATATACTCTGATAACTTTCAATTAGCAACTGATTTATCA